TAGATTTAATTAAAAGCCTTAAGATATTTTTATGGGAGGATAAACATCAACCTTGTTGGATAAGGATGAAGGTTTTAAACACAAAGATCAAAAAGCCCACATGTAAAATAACTCCTAATCCTTAAAGGATTAGGAAGCAACATCCTAGAGTACTTAAGAGACTTATTACCGCCCTTCCTTATCCTTGAAGGACAAAGATGTCTCTCCAATAAATATATGGGAGAGAGAAGTACGGCACGCATAACACACAAGGAAAAAAGAGAGAGAATTCGATCAATAAAGAAAAAGGAGTTAGGGCACACGAGCAAGAAAAGAAAAAAGAAAAAAATAGTTTTCTTTCAAAAACCCCTAGTTTCTCTCCCTCTCTTAAAGGTTGTCGTAAACTTGTTTGGATTAGATTTCTATAAGAAACACTATATAAATTAAAAAGGTTGAGATAGCACTCTACCAATTTTGAGTGCTTCTTTATGGGTGCTTAGACTACATGGATCATCAATAGAGGTTAGACCCTTAGAAGACTTTTTTGCTAAAGAATTTAGATCTATACTATAAAAGGTAATTCTCTATTCATTACTTTAATTCATGTATATATAGTTAGTTAATTTAATGGCATAATCGCTGAGCCCTTTAGATGGAGGAAAATTTTGATTTATTTCGCACATCTATAGGATCCATGATCCTTTAGGGGGACCTAGAAAAGGAGGTGAAACTTTTTCAAGATATAGCAACTCAAGATAAAGACTAGAAATCACTATACCATAGAGTTCAAATAGAATTTTGAAATCCACCAAAATGGATGACCTATAGTTTTGGTCCAAGATAGAGAGCTTAAAAGTAGAAGTAGAAGTGGTTCATCAAGAAAACTTGAATATAAAATATTCCCTCGAGTTATAGTGCAATGACTAGAGGGATCTAATAGTGTAGTTTGGGGAGCCCACAAAGACAACCAATGGATGGAAAAGGACCAATATTGGCAATCTTTATATTGGTATAAACCTACACAATCATCTAGCTCAAGTCAATGATGAAAGAAATGAGCGCTTGGTGCTCGTTTAGAAAATCAAGCAAAATTGGTCTTTAAAGAAGTCATTGTTTTAGGAAAAATGAGTTTGCATATAAGCCAAGGTAGCATGCATGATAGTCTTGAAGCCTTTAATATCTATATAAGAAGATGTGACTAATTATTTGATATGGCTAGGTGAGGAAAATGTTTTAGAGTTTGATAGGGTTGTATGAATTTTACTCCCCATATTACATTTTGATGTATAAATTCTTTATTTTCAATATACCAAAGAAAAATGTAGTGTGCACTAATTTGAGCATTGTGCTCATCATTTTGAATGTTTGGCTAATTAAATTTTTAGTATTTTTCTTTAAATTATGGTTGATCTATACTATGGGATCTCATTTGAATGCGTTATAAAAATCTAAGTTTCTTTAAGGTTGTAAATCGAGTTATATTATGATAATATCAAGAATACGAGTGTCATTGAAGTCACCAACTTTTACTCTTCGACATAAAATGTCTTCAAGTACCTAAGAAAAAGAAGAATAATGGAAGAAAATGCATTACATCTTGTGGGTTACTCGATTCGATAAAAAAACAACATGATTGTAAATGACCTCTATTTATAATGGGAATGATTTCCTTAGATTTTAGCATTCCAAAAAGAAATATATGATGAGATCATTTTTTGTTTAGATTGGGGCATTTCAAAAGTTATTGATGGAATGCAGCTCCGTCTTTAAAAAAATAAACATAAAAAAAATCCATGTTGGAATTTTTGAATACCACCAATGAGACTTAAATTCATCTTTAAACAAACTTGAGATGATGTAAAAGGGTCAAAGAATCTATGATTGAATCCTCTTATCACCTCCACATGAAATCTACTCCATATTCGATCTCAATATCGTTATTCTTATCAATATGTTATTTATATATTATATTTTGTTATTTTCTTGTTTATGCAAAAATATAGGTCATCTTGTCAAAACCACACTTCCTTCGAGAATCTATAAAACAAAGCAAAAAGTGAAAATAGAGAATAAAGAATGAGCATTATTAAAGCAAACTCACCAACTCGAGATTAAAATGCTAAAAGTATAAATTACAAGGCTTGCCGCCCTACATGAGTGGAGCATGCAAGCGTATGCCATTGTAGGGTCACCGTTCAATCCTAAGATAGGCCAATCAATTGCTTTCCACAAAGTGTTATTCATCACACCTTTATCCGTACCTCGGACTACGACCCGAATTCATGATTCTTCATGCCTCATCAAGAGAAGTCTACCACTACTCATCCAGACCAATACATTAATTCGTAGGAGTATGCTCAAGCTAGTTCCTCTAAAACTCTTACTCCAACTTTGTTGTTGTCATGAATGTTGCGAGCACAAATAACCCTCATTGTTGATTTAACTTCTAATGATATTGAGAAAGATAAGTGAAGGATCGGGCATCTTATGGAGGTGAATAATAAAGAAAAATTTTGTTTCCTCCATCTAAAGTTCTCAAGATCAACTCGTTGAATAAATTAACCGTATTAGCAACAAGATGTTTAGGAGTTGTCTCTTGTAGTGTAGAAATCAATTTACGAAAGAATAGTCCAAACATCTGGTTTTTATTATTGATCTATGTAGCTTAAACAATCACACAAGAAGTAATAGAAGTCATAGAGTGCTAGCTCCAACCTTTTCTACAAAGTATTTTTTTCTCAACAATCTCTCAAAAGGTTGGCATACTACGCTTAAAGAGGTTGTGAGTTTGATTGTTTTGGCGGAGAGATGCAAAAAAATTTCTTTTGTTATTTTTATATGTTATATCGACTCTCTCTCACTTTTAGTATATATAAATGGTGGAAACTTTCCTTGTAAGTCAAGAAGATGCAACTCATGTAGGCTTAATTTAATCTTATCCTTATAAACCCCGAGTCTTATCTTCTAGTGCTCAAGATTATCTTTCCATCAAAAAAATCTTGTAGGCTTTTCAATTAATCTTTTGGCCCAAAATCCTTTGGCCTAATTAATTACCAATTAATTTAGACCATCCAAATAAATTGGGTCATATATTTTTAAGTAGGCCTACATTAGAAAATAATTTTTCAAGTTACCCTTTAACCTAAATTAAAAAACTAGTTTTCATTTTAGGTAATAACTTCGAAATTTGCAAATTAATTTCCAAATTAGGAAACTAATTTGTGTGAATGTTTAAACTTATGCATGTAGCTCAATAGGTTCCAAGATATGTTGGCAATGTATCAAGAAGATAAAAGAAACCTCTTTTATCTCTTGATATATAAATTAAGATTGGTCTCTAGCAAGCCATCATAACTACCTAATTTTCTAGAAAGATTAATTAATTAGCAATTACCTTTCATAAATATGGTTTTCATATAATTCAGTCTTCATGTCAAGTTATCATAGTGCGATCTCAATCTTGGTTTATAGTTTGTTCGATTATGATCACATAACTTTTCTTTAATCTCCAAATGTCTTAGCTCTCAAGTAAACCAACTATGCTCTATTTGTATACTTCTACTATGGCCACAAATTTATGACCAGACAGTCATCAAAATGTAATATGATAACTCCTTTAGTATATAAGGAATGACATGTCATATCTCAATCATCTACCTATCTTCATTAGATTCCAAATGAACCCAATGAATATCCCACATGCAGCTTCTTTATTTAGCCCATTGAAATAAATGTCAAAGTATACCAATTCTCTAATGAGATAACCATGATAACTTTAAATCAAATGACTATTTATACCCATCTTATTTGAGATTCTCATAGACTAAACTAAATGGGTTCTTATGGTGAGTCATGTCAAGTGATATATTCTTTAACATTATTCACCTAAATGCTTGCTTTGACATCACTATACTAGTAGGTTTGAGATCTCCTATTGCTATTTTATAATAAGAGCATAGTACTCACAAGTCTTATCGCATATTGTTAATGTGCACTCTTGATAATGGAGAAGAAAATAAGGGAAGAAGGGGATTCTACCCAATTTAGGGATTTTTTAGCAATAGATGCAACTCTATCGGTATTTTGTGACTGGATTATGTTTTTTTAGCGATGAAAATAAGTTTTTTTTTTATTTAAAATTTACAAAATTGCACCAATTTTTCATTTATCAACGATGCACAATTCCATCGCTAAATTTGACATTTTAATAATGAAAATATTTTATAGGTAGTTGGTGAAAGAATAAAAGGTTTAGCGATAGAATATATATATATATATATATTGGTTTAAGATCAAGTATATCGATAAGCTTAACACTACTATAAATTAATGAAAAAACAAGGTGCGCTACAAGATTCGAAAGATTTCAAATAAAAGTTAATAACTATATAGTGTTGAACCATTGATTAATTAGTTTCCCGACCATTAGATGTTCTACCCTTCTATTTTTTGTTTTTGATAACATCAGTAGTAGACTTAGTAGTAGTAGCAAAGGACGCTCTAAAAGTGTTCATAATTAATTAATTCCACAAAAGTGCAGTCACTGAACTCGACCTTTCATTCATTTCAAAGGAAAAGAAATCCAAAAAAATCAAAGTTGTCTATAATAAGCAATGTATCATTCATAAGAAGGATAGTATCAGTATTATTATCATAACATACTAGCTCGACATAGAAACACCGACAGGTGACTTTTAAGCAGTTGGCAAACTAAGCATCACATGCACTTGCTTAGTTGCTTTCTTCATGTTGTACATATTTTCCGTACTTTATAGGACGTTAAAAAACGCGTTTTTTTATTAAAACACAATTCCATTATTAATTATCTATTAATAATATTCCCAACCAAAAGAAAAAAATAACATGAACATATTCTGAGGAAGCAATTAATGTATAATGGATTTAGATTCTAAAATAAACACCGACATCCGCGTATTCGGGCATATGGTAGCCTATAAAATGGATGCACTTTCTTCAAGAATTTTATGTACTAAGCTTGTTGAGATTGTTTGCAACGGAAAATGGGACCTTCTGTCACTCTTTCTGTTTTCGTTTGTCAATTTTTTGTCCTTGTTGATTTGCTTAATTTGAAGGGGATTAATGGTGGTTGGCTCAATGCTCATGCAACCTACTATGGTGCCAATCAGAGCCCTGCCACTCTCGGTAAGTCCTAAGTTGTCAGAAAAAAAGAACAAAAGATTTTAATGTTAGTTTGCTTAGTTATCTCATATTAATGATTTTGATTTGCAACTACGTACAATACTAATAGCAATTAAGTAATTAATCAATCAAAATGTCCAACAATTCTTAATTTCTTTCTTGAAGTTTTGTGTAAATGAAACTACTTTCTGTCCAGATAATTTTAAATGCATAGTAATTAACTTTGATATTCAATATATCAGGAGGAGCTTGTGGCTATGACAACACCTTCCATGCCGGATTTGGAGTGAACACAGCAGCGGTGAGTGGTGCACTTTTTAGAGGTGGAGTGGCATGTGGTGCTTGCTACCAATTAATGTGCGACTATAGGGCTGACCCCAAGTGGTGCCTCCGACGTCCCGTTATCACGGTAACCGCCACCAATTTCTGCCCTCCAAATAATAATGGAGGGTGGTGCGATCCTCCTCGGCAGCATTTTGACATGTCCATGCCTGCTTTCTTTCGCATTGCAAGACAAGGCAATGAAGGCATAGTTCCTGTACTCTATAGAAGGTAACAAAATAGCTAATTATACAACACGCACACAAATTCAGTTAAAAAAAAAAGAAAAAAGAATATGCTTTATTTGTAGTATTTGAATATCTTATTTTGAAAATGTATGAATTGATGAAGGATATCGTGCAAAAGAAGAGGAGGAGTTCGTTTCACTTTGAGGGGACAATCAAACTTCAACCTGGTCGTGATCTCTAATGTTGGTGGTAGTGGTGATATTAAGGCTGCATGGGTTAGAGGATCAAGGACAAGATCATGGGTACCCTTGCACAGGAATTGGGGTGCAAATTGGCAAAGCACTTTCGATCTTCGAAGCCAAAAATTGTCGTTTAAGCTGACTTTAGTTGATGCACAAACACTGGAATTTTTCGATATTGTTCCTTCAAATTGGAGGTTTGGACAGACATTTTCTTCTCAAAATCAGTTCTCTTGAAACTAAGGAGAATTGCCCTATTTTTACATGTCCTGAACTGGCATTTTTTGATGGTCCAAGAACATGAAGCTGAATTTTCTTTTTCTTTTTCAAGTAAAAATTCTGTAGGAGGGAATGCCATTATGGCAATTATGTACGACATTATTATATTTATGCATTTAAATTTATATTTAACAAATCTTTGTTACTTTGTGATTTACATTTGCAAAGCTCAAAAATCAGAGCAATGTTTCTTCTTCTTTTTTTCGTACCTGAATCAAAGATTAATAATATTGATGTGGGAAGGAGAAAACACACACACACACACACACATATATATATATATATCATTTGTCTCTCATTACACTTTCTAGTTTGTTTTTATGGCATGTTATAATGATAATTATACAAGAGTTGTATCTAAATCCATTTATATTACAGGAAGCAAAAGTAAAGTTTTCTTTTAACTTAACTAGCTAACTAACTATACAACTAACTACATAATTAGTTACTTGATAAGCTGATATAGCAGCCATGTATTTAAAACTTTTCCTCTAATACTCTTTCTCAAGAGGAGCATGGAAACCAATCATGCTCATCTTGCTTATAAAAAATTGAAACCGAGAAGGATGAAGAAGCTTTGCGAACAAATCCGCAAGCCGATGGGTAGAAGAAACATATCCCGGCTTCAATATCCTTACAAGAACCTTTTCTTTGATGAAATGGGAATCTATTTCAATGTGATGTGTCCTCACATGGAGTATAGGGTTCTTGCTTATGTATATTGCTGATTGGTTGTCACAAACTTGCAAGTAAATTCAGTAACCAAATCACTTCACAACAAGTTATAGCATGGCTTTATATTCAGCCTTAGCCGAACTTATTGCCACCTTAGTCCGCTTCTTGGATTTTCAACTAACAAGAGAACTTCCAAAAAAAATTTAGCCAATCACTAACCTTCCGGTATCCTTACACCTTGCCCAATCACCGTTAGTATATGCTTTCAATTTATTGTTAGATTAAGAAGAAAACATCAACCTTTTCCAAGTAATCTGTTTCAAGTAACCCAAAACACTCGAATGTTGCTTGCAAATGTGTCTTTGCTGGCTTATCCATGTATTATGAAAGCACTTGAGTTGCATATGAAATACCTAGTTTGGTGAAAGTTAGGTATGGTAGTTTTTTTCATAAGTTGTCTATACATAATTGGATTCTCAAGAAAACCTAATTATGCATGTATAACTTAATCACTAGGATCAATCGAAGTTAAGGCTAGTTTTGCACCAAACAATCCATGCTCGGTCAATAGATCAATCACATACTTTCTTTGACATAAAGAAATCCCTTTCTCGGACCTTGCTACCTCAATACCCAAAAAGTACTTCAACTTTCCCAAATCCTTCATTTTGAATTGAGAATGTAAGTACTTCTTGAAATTTTCAACAACTGCATAACAATTGCTCGTAATAATTATGTCATCAACATAGATAAGTAGTGCAAGAAATGTATCAACAAATACTCTTTTGGTGAAAAAAGATTAATATGCCTTGGATTGAGAGAAACCAAAATAGAGTAAAGCTTGAGTAAGCTTGGAGTTTCACTATCTTGATGCATGTTTTAGTCCATATAAAGACTTTTAAAGCATGGAAACAAGTCGTGTATACTTTCTCTAGACCTAGTATCCTAATGAGAAGTCCATATCCCATTGCGTTCCTAGGGGAAGAAAAATAATAGTCGAGGTATTATTATGCTTAAGAGCATCAAACTCATCTTTCATAACATCTTTTTAGTGGCATATTGCACGACTTGCTGGAATGTTTGTGGTTCACCAAGGTTAGACAATGAAGCAATAAAAGCTATAGGTGAAGGAGATAACCTAGCAAATGAGATAAAATGATGAATGGGATATGTAGTGGAAAAACAAGTAGACTCTATGATAGGGACGAGTAGGTAAATTGGTTTGATAGTCAAACAAATAAGAAGGAGGCTTATTAACTCTACTACTCTTTCTAACAAAAACACCTAAGGATGAAGTATTATTTGGTGGAGAATCAAGTATATTATGTGATGTGGACTCATGCGTATCGGATGAGACAACGAGTTTGGTCAAGATTAGAAAAAGGAAAAAAACCTTCTAAAGAACAATTAATGATTGGAACATGGATTATATATTCTAAAGTATGAAAATCTAATTAATTATTTGATGTATGAGGAAAAATATTTAGGAAAAGATGTAAATGATCAAGGGAAATAACATTTGGTATTGAAGAAGAACTAGTCTTCAAGGAAAATGTAAAAACACACTCATAAAAAGCATCCTTAGATAATCTGCCACATCATACAGACTTGTAAGCCTTTATAACATTAGGATAACCAATGAAAATGCATTGTCCGGATCTAGGATCAAACTTTTTTCTACCATGTGTAAGAGTAAAGGAAAAACAAAGACAACCAAAAACTTTTAAATTGTTATAGGAAGGAGGTTTATTAAATAACACTTCATAAGTTGTTCTCTTTTATAGTATAGGAGAAGGAATTCTACTAATCAAATAAGTTACAATTAAAAATGCATCTCCCTAAAAGGAAATAAGTAGGTGAGATTGAAAAGGTAAAGCCTTAGATGTAGCAAGTAAGTGCTGATTTTTCCCCTTAACAAGACCATCTTATTGAGAAGTTTCCACACAGGACAATTGATGTAGAACACCTTTTTTCATAATAAAAATAAGGTAAACTAAACTCTAGATCATTGTCTAACCTACTTGTTTAATATGAAAACCAAACCGTGTTTAAATAAGGATAAAAAAAGTAGGGTGTGATGGAACTAACATCTAATATAGCTTTCATCAAAAAGACCCAAGTTATTTGAGTAAAATCATCAGCTATTATTAGAAATAGTGATATATTCCATATGCAAATTGAGAATAAGGGCCCTAGATATCAACATGAATCAATTGAAATGAAATTGTACTATGTTGAATATGAACAGGAAATAAGGGATATTTATGCTTAGTCATAGGACAAAGAATAGATGAAATTTTATTTGACATTGTCATTGGATGAACTTTAGTACAAGTTTGATAAATGACTCTTAATTTATCAAGAGATAAATGTCCTAACCGAAAGTGCCAAAGATCAAAACAATCTTTGACATCAAGAACAAGACTAACTTTATTTGCAAAAATAGAAGAATAACCAAATTATGTAGAAAATGAATTATCATGGGATGATGTCCGAAGTAGAGTATTGGGAACTTGTAGTAGGTAAAGACCTCCTTTAGCCTTAACAAGTCCAATTACTATCCATGAAGAGATTGCTCGAATAAAACTAGAGTCACCACTAAAATTAACAACTCTTTTGTTATTTGTAAATTGATTGATAGTTATGAGATAAAATTTAAATGAGGGAACAAATAGAACAATGTTTAAAACCAATTTAGGAGACAATGACACAGACACTGAATGTGTACCAAAAGCCTTAGATCCATATGGTATTATCACAAAGATTTGATTAATAGTATAACAGAAGTAAAAGAATTTAAGCTACATGCTATGTGATATAAAGCTCTTGTATCTATGATCCTGGATGCATTACTCACAAGATGTGTCAAAGACTCGTGGAAATTATGTGTAACAATGATGTGAAGAATATGGTGGATATTGTTTTGTTATAAGTGAAAAGTTAATACCGCATTGTTAGGAGGATTGGAAGGAGCCTTGGCCGATGCATTCTACTCACTAAGAATAGCCATCAAATGCTGAATTTGATGTTAAGATAATGGTACTTATGTTTTTATCTCTACAGATAGCACTAGTTAAGGATGAGTCATACCGATTAGTTATTGTATTTATAGATGAAAAGATGCCTTCATCTATCTACTTAAGTATAGAACCGATTCCTTTTAGAGTAGCTTTCCCTCTAGAAAACTCGGAATTAATTACGGATGGAACAACTCGTCCTTTAATAAACCTTGGATTTTTTAGAAAACCAATCAATTAAAAACACCTATCTTTGGCATGACCTATTTTTCCACGAGTGCATGCACACAAAAAAATTTCTAGGCTTATTTTCAAAAGTACCTCTAGCTATCATTACCGAAGATTCTACGTATGGCTATAATTGACAATGCATGCGTTTTTGAGATACCTCCCTAATTACTAGATTATAAACCTCATCAAGAGAGGGCAAATGCATCATTGTGATCACATGAGACCTCGGTGTAGCATAGTACTCACTTAAGCCATTCGTAAATCGAAATACATAGCTCTTTTGATGCGGATCAATGTATTTCTTAAAACACTCAACACTACACTTACCACATTTATAATGTGGCAATGGCCTATAATTCCTCAACTCTTCCTAAACCGAATTCAACTTAGTAAAATACTTATCAATACTATGATTTTCCTAAGTAATTACACATAAAACATGCTCGTAAGTTTTAAATTTTAGAATCATCTACTTATGAAAAGCATTTCTTTAGCACTTTCCAAATTTATGCTATTGAATCCATGTAGAAAATGGTTGCAACAATCGGAGGTGAAATAGACCTAAGAAGCTAAGAGATAATGAGATTATTATATCTCAACCATGGTCCAAACAGAGGATCATCTCTAGTCGGAGCGACGAATTGAACCATCAACAAAACCAATCTTATTGCAAATTGACAGCGACTCCACGAAGCATAATTGCTCGAAACAATCTTAGGATAAACTATTACGATGCTATGATTTTCAATGTGATGAAGATAAAAAGGTGATTAAGGATCCTCTCGTGGAAGAAATTGAAGAAGAAGACACCATTGATGAACCGAAATTACTTGAAGAATGGTAAGAATAAGAGAAGAAAAAGTGAAATCTAACTTGTTATGTGCTCGATACGGTATGAGAAGAAAAACGATCCGCTTCTCTTATTCCATTCAAGAAAAATAGTTACGAGTTTTTTATGCAAATCTCTCTCAACTATACAAGAGTTGTATCTAGATCTATTTATATTACAGGAAGCACAAGCAAAGTTTCTTCTAACTTAACTAGCTAGCTAACTAACACTTAACCGACTAGCTAACTATTCAACTAACTACATCATTGGTTACCCGATAAGGCTAATGTAGGAGTCATGTATTTAAAACTTTTCCTCTAATACAACTCAAACGTAGGCATTTTTTACCGTTGGTGACTTCAATTTTTTTGTTACAAAAAGAAGTACAATCTTTTTGGTTTATGCAACTCGAGTACAAAAAATACATTAATTTTTACAGAAGTCATGGTAATTTCAAATGATGTAAGGGAAAAACCTCAAATTAGCATGATCAGGTTCCTAACATGTATAGTTATCATATTGTTAAAATTCACTATATATAGTTGGCTAGCATGACAGATTCCAATTTTTTTGCATCCATTAAACTCATATGATTGACGCCTTGTATTAGGATTTCTTCCAATTACGTCAATTAGGTGTGTTGCGTCTCAAATTCAACTCTTAACGCAGTCACATCCAAGCTATTTCACGTTTAGCCCACATCGGTAGCTGTTCTCAACCATATGACAATTCAGAAATGATTTCAATATTGTTGGTAGACTCCAGTTGGATTTTGTTCAACTTTATGCCATTGAAGGACTAGCCTTGGGTTGGGCATATTATGTAAATAAATTGCAATCGTTCCTTTTACCCTTTTTTCTTATTACTTGTTTTATTGGTTCATTTTTTTTTTCTAATAAAGTTGGAGGGTAAAACTAAAATCTCCTCATGCCAAGAATGGAGCATTATAATGAAGAAAAACAATTTAACTAGAGTGTTTTTTTTTTCTTCCTAATTAAAAGCATTGCATCGTAATCAATAAGCTGTTGGTTTGAATTCTAAAGTTATATTTGTTCAAAGAGCTACTTCAAAAACTTGGATGAAAAGGACAAAATTGACAAAACATATGGTGCTCTATTGTTTTGTTATACCAGAAGTGGCCTTTTTGACAAGTCCCTTTCACATATGCAGAAGATGGAGGAGTTGGGTTTTGCTTCCACTGTTATCAACGACAATGACCTCATGTGCCTCTACCTGAACACTGGCCAGCTAGAGAAAGTCCCTGATGTGCTTTCGGATATGAAGGAGAATAGTGTTCTCCCTGACCTTTTCAGCTACAGAATTTGCTTGAAATCTTACAGGGAAAAATCTGATATTGATAACTTGGAGAAAATTCTACGAGAAATGGAGAGCCAGTTGCAAATCTCCATGGATTGGCTAACCTATGCTACAGTAGCCAATATCTACATAGAAGCTGGTCTGAGAGAGAAAGCACTTGTCTACTTGAAAAAATGTGGGTTAATGAAAATGCACTAGGCTACAATCATTTAATTTCGCTCTATGCAAGTCTTGGGAACAAGGACGAGGTGATGAGGTTGTGGGGGCTTGCAAAAGCCAAGTGTAAGAAGCAACTCAATAGAGATTATATAACCATTTTAGGATGTCTAGTCAGGCTTGGTCGCCTTGAAGAAGCTGAGAAATTGCTGCAGGACTGGGAATTATCTAGCCAATATTATGATTTTCAAGTTCCAAATGCCCTCCTCATCGGGTGTTCTCGGACAGGTTTACTGGAAAAAGCTGAAACAATGCTACACGACATATCAGAAAAACAAAAGGTGAAAAATCCAAATAGTTGGGCAATTATTGCAGCAGGTTATATGGATAAGCAGGATATAAATAGGTTCTTGAATGAATGAAAAAAGCTCTGGCTGCGGCTGCAGAGACAGAAAATAAGGCATGGAGACCCAAACCTACACTGGCTTCTAGCATATTTAATTGGCTTGGTGATAATGGGGATGTTGAAGAAGTAAAAGGATTTGTGTGCTTGTTGGAGACTAAGATCCCAAAAAGTAGGGAAATGTATCATTCGCTAATCAAGGCATCTATCAGATGTGGGAAAGAAGTGGATGGACTCTTGGAGAACATGAAAGCTGATAAGATAGATGAAGAAGAGGAAACAAAGACGATTCTTAGTTCAAGACAGCCAGAATAACGAACGAGTCGCTTGTAATCGTTATTCTCCAAATTCTTGCACAAAAATCTAGTAGTCGCTTGGAAAAGTGTAGTGTGATTTCATTAAGTAGATTATTAGCTGAGGCTCCCATATTTGATTTGTTCCCTCAAATGGAGGATATGGGAGGACTTTATGACTTGCATTTATACATCTGAGGCTGACCTTATGCACATTTTGTGAGTTTTGGGCCCTTAAATAATCTGAACCCTAAGCATATGTGCTCCAACTTCTATCCTAAATTCCCATACTCGTCGCCTAGCAAGTTTGATCACTCGCAATGTATTGGGCCCATGTAGTTTCTAACATTGAAATAGGCCCATTAACTACTTAAGCCTTTGGACCTTTTTCCATGCAATCCAAACTTGGCGCTATCTCGTGCTCGCTCAGCCAGACTTTACCTTTTCTAGAAAAATAATCTCCCTTCTTTCCCCAAACCAAGCACCTCTGGAGGAAAACAATGGCGAAAGATCGAAACGGCACCGAGGCAGCCAAAGACGGTGACAGCAAAAAATTGAAAGCCAAATCTCGAAAAGAGAACTCCGACTCTGATTCACATACAAGGACAATCTCGCGAGAAAGCTCCGATTCTGAGTCACGCTCAGAATGCGAAGACACGAAGCGCAGTAAAAGAAATCGAAAATCACGAAAACGATACAGCAGCAGAAGAGGCTCGGATTCGGAGTCGGAGTCAGAGTCGGATTACTCTAGTAGTGAAGAATCGGAGTCGGATAGTGAGAGTGAAGAGGAGAGGAGGAGAAGGAAGAGGAAAGAGAGGAAAAGGAGGGAAAGAGAGGAAGAGAGGGAAAGGAAAAGGAGGAAAAGAGATAAAGAAAAGAAGAGGAAAAGGAAGGAGAAAAAGGAGAAAAAGAAGAAAAAAAGGAGAAATTGGAGAAAGGGAAAAAAGGTGCAGTTACTAATTCATGGGGGAAGTATGGGATTATTAGAGAAACTGATATGTGGTACGTTATTTTTTATTTTTTATTTTTAAAAATACTTCTTTCTTTTTGAAGTTTGTACCTTTGTTATTTTTTTGTGGCTTGGGTTTTGAAATTTTTCTTGGTACAGTGTTACTATTATATGTTATGTAGTATGAAAGGAGGTAAATTTGAATCATATTAGGGTTTGGAAATGGGAAAGTAGATTATTGCAGCAAGTTAGTGGATGTAGGATATATAGGAATATGTGGTTGAACTGTTTAATTTTGTTTCTTTGATGGATTTAAGTTGTGGCTTGCTTGCCTTTGAAATTTTACATTTTTCTTTTCGTTTGTGGCTTTGAATTTCGAAATTATGGTTTCTGTTTCGGTGGGAAAAGCATTTTTTTTTTTCAAGGGAAAGGAGTGGAGTGTAAATCCTGAGATCCTAGTATCTTAGTATCAGGGAAATATTTACGCATAGAGAATTGGGTTGTTTGTTTTTGCATCTTTGTCTGCTGAGATTTTGGCAGGCCAAAAGGGATTATAAATAAATGTGTATTGAAGTTTTATAGTGATGCTTTATTGTTCTGGAATTGCGAAAGCTATGCATGTTTATGCTGTTTGTTGCTTTACTGATGACAACTGAAGTAAAGGAAATATGATGAATTTTGACTAGTTGATGTCCTATTGTTATTTCTTTAATGGTAACACACGACCTTTATTTTTTCCCCACAACTCTTGGACATTTCTCTTTTTTTCTCTTTCTGTATTTAGGTTTGAGACTAATGTTTTTGTTTGGTGGCTGAGGATGTGTAGGAAGATAAAATGGTTGAATTTGAATTTTGGGATGTTCATAAGCCAGAATCAGCATACAGTGGAGCATTTGGTCTTATAATAGAGTTGATGGCTCTTGGTTGCATCTACATTTCTTATTTCGTAGTTGATTGGATTTTAGGTTTTGTAAATTTCATTTCTGAATCTTTCATCTCCTGCATAAACCATTTGTTGGGAATTATTAGTATGGTCTTGAGTTAATTTCGTTTTCAATGGGGACTATAAACTAGGCCAGATGGAACGTAGGTTATTGGGAATTGTAAATTGTTGTTGGTGGTAAATTGACATGTGAAGAATGTTTTCTTGATTCGTTTTCCATGCTGCTTCCCATTTTTTGCTGTTACTTGAATTTATTTCAGAGTTTAAGGTGTGATGTTATTAAACTTGTCTTGCATGTGCTTCATTTTAAAGTGTCAATATCATGTAAAAACTCAACATGATAGTTGGATATATGACATTATTTAGCAAAAGAAATATAGCATGCCACTCCTATTTTCATGTCAAATTCTATTGGCTGATAAATTCTTTACTTGAGTTTATACTTTTTTTTACACTTAACTATACTCCATTGATCTTATTTGTTGATCTCTATTTTGTAGGAATAAACGACCAGAGTTCACTGCATGGTTGCTAGAAGTGAAACAGGTATTTGTTTTATTTTTTTCTGTTACCCATTGCTAGTGTTTTCCTGTCCTTTAATTCTGTTGAATTCTTTTGTAGTTTGTTTGTCCTTCGTCAGTTTTGCATGTTATTTGAAGTTCTAGGTTACATTTTAATTGTTTTGAATCTTTTTTAAGGTGAATCTAGAAAGCCTGCCAAACTGGGAAGAGAAGCAAATGTTCAAAGCGTAAGTACATAAAAATCCTTTCTTGCAGTATGCCAACTTCGGTGCATTTTCCAAATGAAAATTTTGATTATTATCTTAAATTCTTTCTGCCAATGATTCTACAGATTCATGGAGGATCACAATACGGCAACTTTTCCTTCCAAAAAGTAAGATTCTTTTCTGATATTTACATGGATGTTTTATTCATTCTCTTTAAGTGGTGTTGGTTTTTCTCAGAAAGAACATTTAATCTTTTCACTATCAAGATATTTGAAGGTGGATAAATTTACTTGGCAAAACTATAAGAAGACTGGGTAGGGTTGGTCAATGGCTTATTCTAGTACATAAAAGGCCTGCTTCTGCAATTTAAATTCAGTTAAAACTATGATAAATTATGGCTGAATCAGTTTATGTAGGAATGAAGCAGGTGGATGATGGTATCCTTCTACTGCATTGCCCCTCAGTAGATAATATAGTTCACATTGTAGAGAGTGGATAACATATAAATAAAATGAATTAATGCTTGCCGTATTATTCTCACAAGAATCGTTTCATGCTTTGTGGTTTCAGATATTATAACCTTGATGCTTACTACCAACATAAAATGGAAAAGGAAATGAAGAAGGGTTTCAAGAAGGTCCTGCAATCAGAGCGTACTGTATTTAATGACGAAGAACAGCGTCGGTATGTCATATTCTGTGTGCTTTCAGCTTAAACAATTGAAAATGATCAGGCAGTCCAGTTTTATTGCAGTTTTCATAGTCTTGTTACATCTAAATTCTATTGGATTTATATACTATTATGTTTGCTGCTGCTGTGCTTCTAAAGTATTCAATTTTCCATATGCATCCCTCCTGCATTCTTCTTTCTGATTGCTCTAATCCTTGATTCTGAGAGTCCTTGGTCGCCTTTTTCCTTTCCTTGCTTTTTTGTTTTCTCTATAAAGTTGAGAATGTGGAAATTTTCCATATAATAATGTTAATCATTTTGTGCACTGTGAGCTAATGGTTTAATCTGACTTCACAAGACTGATTCTATAATTGTAATATATTTGGTGTGTGCTATTTTGTTATAAAACCAGTCCATGATGGCTCTAAATTCTGGCATTCTTGAAGTTGATCAGTTAATCTTTGCTAGGGACCTCAAACTAAATAAACACGCCCACATGTAATTTTATGCGAAAGAAGTTTAAACAGTTATGAACTATTGAAGTGCAGAAATTCCTGTAAGCATAATCCTGTTGGGGGAAAAAAAAAAAAACATGAATTGTCTTTCAGGTTTTCTTACCAACACTGGTTCTGTTGATTCAATCTATGACAGCTTTTATATTTTTGCATTTTTTCCCATTATTTTCATCCACTGCTTGCAGGCAAGAACTGTTGCGAGAACGTGAAAAGCAAAAAGAAGCAGAGGTGGAAGCCTTAAAGCGTTCTATGCAGAGTGGAATGGTTAGCTTCTCTTTCTCTTTCTAATTATGGATTATTTGTTAAAACCTAGATGGACTGGGGAATTATGCTTTTTCTCACCTTTGTTTGAACAGGCACAAGCAATGAAAGAACAAGCCCAGCTGAGAGAAGAGATGGCTTACCAGTACAAGCTTGGCAACTTTGAGGTGATGATAACGAGCTTGGTTTGACTTAGATGTATAATTATCTTTTTTCTCTAGCTTGTCATTGCTCAAAAGTCACATTACACTTATAGGCTGCGGCTGCTATCCAAAGAAGGTTGGACCCAGATGTTGCTATGTGAGTCTACTAACTTTGATGTGAAGCCAGAACTGCTACAGATTCATGAATTTCTCATTTATATCGTGCACATGGATCCCACTACCACCAAGCTGCCAAAGATATCACTACTGGTGTTGATATGTATACATGACTGCCAGGTTAAACAAATGGATCTGCCCGATGTGTTTTTGGGTTAGCCATTGTGTTACACTAGTCATTTATGCACTTCCAATTTTTGCGGCCTCATAGTAATAGTGTATTTAGCTGCCATTGTCTTCGGCAGTAATATCAATGCTATTTTTTTATGCATGCCAGTGTTCCTACCATATGTGCTATGTACATGAGTTGCGTTAACCTTTAGACTGGTGGTTTGTATTTCTAGATGAAATATTGGAAGTTCGGTGCCAGGGTGTTTTGTCTTTTGAAAACTAGTTTTTATGTGAGGCATCACCATCCACCGGATATACGGTATATCCATTGAAAAGTAACCATAAACAAGCACCGGTCTAGTTTTTATGTTAAGATGGCCAGACAAGCACTTGGGAACATGGAGGGGCGGGTTCAACTAGAACTTTTCAGAATCTCTGACCCTGGAGTAAAGAAAAATTTTGAGATTCAAAAAAACAGAACTAGACCTTAGTGAGGATGCTGTTAGTTTGCAGACTGATGACTGGAATGGTCACTAAAATCAGCTTACTTCACCAATAACAAGAACTTCTAAAAGTAGGTGAGTTCTGATGCATTTTTGGCAGCAGCAGGCTACAATGTTCGTTACAACCTAGAACCAATTTCGTCAAATTATGAAACATCGGAATATCATCACCATTTAAACGGGAGAAAACCTACATGTGAAATAAAAAATAGTCACTTGAGGATAGAAATGTTATGATCCAGAAAAGGTAAGCAATTTATGCAGCTGGTGCCAGCCCATTGCAGCAAGTTCAGCCTTGGAATTTCGACACAATATGAAGTTTCAGGTTAATCAACTCTGAAAAATCAGAGTAAGCTTTCCGACAGAGCTACAAGATAAAAGGAGAGATTTAGCATTCGAAATTCCACGAACTAGCTCAAGTCCAGATATATCAATGTCCTGTCTTTCCCCTATACACATTGCAACATTGATCTCCGCCATAACAAGAGAATGAAGGTTATTCCAGGACAAGGGTGGCAACAAGTGGATATAAAACGGATGCCTGCTTTATCCATCCTAATAAATGCCCATTAATAATGTCTATTGGATATTGAAATGGATAAACGTAAAAAAATACATATTCACTAATATGGTTTCAAAGTATGGATACTTATTTTTTATCTTATTAATACTTACTAATTTATTTAGATTTTTTTTTATTAACATGTAGGGATTTAATTACATAAAATTTAAAAATTAAGAATCAAAATATTTTTTCTGAAAAACTTTGAGGATAAAAAAACTTATCAATAAATGACAAAAAAAAACTTAAAATAAATTTTAAGGATCAAAAAAACTTTTCTTAAAATTATAGGGATAAAATGAATATTTTTGACATTAAATTTAACGGGTATTTAATAGGTATTAAATAAGTGGGTAAATTAGTATGAGTTGAGTAAAAATTTATATGATGATTTTTTAATAAGAAATGAATAGCGTATTCTTTTGATAGATCAGATAAAAAATTAAATTAATGATCATATATCTGCTCATTGTCATTCTTATTCAAGGAATACCCATCTGCCCCATTATCCTTGTATTTAAAGAATTGAAGATTAGGAGCATCATGTACAGAGGGAACTCCCTACCATTTGTATGCAAATAAATAATCATCCTCACCATAAAAACCAGCACCATCATCCCAATCATCATAAAGTTCATATGAGAAGCAATCTAATGACAAAGACTTCAGGGCAGGAATAGATTTATTAAGAGTCTTTGCAAACTCTATTTTGCATTCCTGCATTACCAGGTCTTCAAGCACAGGACGGTTAGAAAAGAGCTTTAGAGTAACATAATCATTTGGAAATTCAATTGCATCGAGGTGAAGGGTTTTCAGACTTGGGAAACAAAACGAATCAGGGACGTGGAGCGCAAAGTTTCTACCAAGCTTTAGAACCTCTAAATGTTGGCAACTAAAAAGAGCATCAGTAAGCCTGAAATCTACCACCCTATTGATGCAGATATCAAACTCTAGAAGCTTGAGCTTTAGGGCTGACTTTATCCATGCAGCAACATGGAACTTATGACGCCTACTACATTCACGACGAAATCTATGTATAGGGAATCAACTGTTGTAATCAACACACTGCCCACAAAATTTATGAAGTTAATGCCTCTGGTTCCAAATTTGTCGCCTTTGCCATGATTGAACAATATGGTATCACTACACCAAAAACGGGTATTCCGGGCGGTTTTTTGTCTTGTAGAGGCGGTTATAACCACCTCTATAAATTATAGAGGTAGTTTCTCGGACCGTCTCAAAACCGCCTGCAATGTCGTCGTCTCTACGATGTAGCGACGGTTTTTCCAACCGTCGGGGATTTCTGCGGCGATCGTTAGAGGCGGTTATAACCGCCTCTATATTTTTTCTCCGAGGCGGTTCCAACCGCCCCTACAAATGCTTTCTTGAGGCACATGAAACCGCCCCTACTACCTAATATTGAGGAGGTTGCAACCGCCCCTACAAATCCTAATCGTGGGGCGGTTTCAACCGCTTTTAAAAATCCATCACGTGAGTATTTGTTGCGGCGGTTGCAAACCGCCTCTACGATAGCGAAATTTATAAAATTGATGGAAAATGGTAGAAGCGGTTCAAACCGCCTCACGTAAGAAAGATGGATTATTAAGGCATCTTGCCGATGGAGAAGCATGAAAAAATTTTGATGCTTGATATCCCGATTTTGCTTTAGATTTTCGTAATGTAAGGCTCACTCTTGCTAGTGATGGTTTTAATCCTTTTAGAACAATGAGCACTACATATAGCACATGGCCTCGTTGTATTGATTGTATATAATACTTCACCTTGGATTTTATGAAACAATCATCATTCATATTATCAATGATTATTCCGGTGAGAACGAGTCCAGGAAATGACATAGATGTTTATTTGCAACCTTTGATAGCAGATTTGAAAAAATTATGGATAGGTGTAGAGACTTATGATGCTTCTAAAAAACAATCATTTAACATGCGAGCTACTTTGATGTGGATAATAAATGATTTTCCTGCTTATGCAAATTTATCCGGTTGGAGTACGAAAGGAAAGTTTGCATGTCCATGTTATGCTAAGTCAACGTGTTCTAAATGATTGTACAAAAGTAAGAAGCATTGTTTCATGGGTCATCGTCGATGGTTACCTTATGATCATATATTCCGTCATCAAAAAGATTGTTTTGATGGTATAGAAGAGCGATAAATGGCACCATCTAGAAAAAGTGATAGTGATGTCTTGAAACGGTTAAATGACATAGATTATACTTTTGGAAAATTAGAACAACATGATAAAAGAAAAAGGATTGTGAACAAAAAAAGGATCAAAACTAATATTGGGGGCTCAAATATTGAAGGGATAGTTAACACATATAGTGATGTTGAGGATGCAAAAAAGTGGTGGAAGAAAAAAAGCATATTTTTTGAATTACCTTATTGGGGGTTTAACTTGTTACGTCATAATCTTGATGTGATGCATATTAAAAAAACGTATGTGATAATGTGATTGGAACCTTAATGAATCATGCTACTAAGTCAAAGGACAATTTAAATGCACGTCTTGACTTAATGGATTTGGGTATTAGGTTTGATCTTCACCCTCAAGTGCTTGATAATGGTAAAAGCAAATTGCCTTCCGCTTGTTTTACAATGTCAATAGCAGAAAGAGAAATCTTTTGCAAAATTCTTCATTTTTTAAAATTGCACGATGGTTATGCATCTAACATTTCAAGATGTGTAAATCTTAAAGATCAAAAATTAATTGGTCTTAAAAGTTATGATTGTCATATTTTGATTGAAGATCTCCTACCGATAGCATTAAGAGCATGTAGTCCATCTAAAGAGGTAACTTCGGTGATAATTGAATTGTCCGCTTTCTTTAAAGCAATATGCTCAAAGGTCCTAGATGTGAATGAGCTTGACAAGATTCAAAACCGTATTGTTTTTACTCTTTGTCGGATGGAAAGGATTTTTCTACCATCATTCTTCATTGTTATGGTGCATTTAACTATTCATTTAGCGGAGGAGGCAAAGCTTGGTGGTCCGGTGCCATATAGGTGGATGTATCCTCAAGAAAGGTACATCATAGTAATTAATTTCTCTTTCCTTCATATTTTGATGATTATATTTAATTAACTAAGATTAATAAATTTCTTAGGCAATTTGTGCGTTTGAAGTCATATGTTCGTAATAGAGCTCGACCGGAAGGATCAATTGCAGAAGGGTATGTAGGTGAAGAATGTTTGACATTTTGTTCAAGATACCTAGAAGGAGTTGAAACAAGATTCAATCGACCTTTGAGAAATCCCGATCCTCCTTCAAATGAACAAAGAGTCAAATATTTGCTCAAAAGTGCCGGTCAACCAATTGGAAAAGTTGAAGCCATACAATTGGACAATAAGGCTTTGATTCGGGCACATCGTTATATTTTACGTCATTGCAATGAAATTGAACGTTTTCGCTTGTAAGTTCTTTTAATTTAATAAAGTATACTACTAATTCTATAAAACATATTCTTATTTAATACGTTAAAAATTTTCACATGCGAGAGAATTCATTGATTTAGAACGAAAAAAACGACGTCGACATGCTCGTCTTAGAAGTGAGGATATTGAAAGACTACTTGATGAAAAATTTCATAGTTGGTTTCAAAAAAAGGTAAGTAATTGAACTAGGTGACATATTAAACATTAGGAATTAAAGTATATTAATACTAACTTCATACAATTTTTTTTATTATAGGTTTTAAGCATGAACGATCCAAGCACTTCGGATGAAATTTTAGCACTTGGTAAAGGGCCTAATAATGTGGCCAAGAGATTTAATGGGTTCATCATCAATGGAACTAGGTTCCATACACTCGGATCGGGAAGCAAATAGATCATCTCAAAATACTGGTGTGGTTAATGTTTCGGTTGTTGGAGGAGTTAACTACTATGGAAAATTAAGAGATATTATTGAACTAGATTACTATGGTAGTTTTAAAGTTATATTATTTAAATGTGATTGGGTTGA